ATAACCTTCAGAGCAACCTAAAAAATAAATATGCAATTAATTAGGTATTTCGACCGACTCAAATAAATTATGCCTGTTACGGAAAAAGTGCCCAAAAAGTGTGATTTAGACAGTATTTGGTTTGGGCAAAATAAATGCTATATTGATGTACCTTTGTGATTCTTCCAGTGAAAGCGATCTACCAAGAACCAGCAATCTTTAAAAAAGTTGGGGTCTCTGTTCAATGCGTACTTGTGAAGGTTACATGCATTGTCGTAAACAACATGTTTGTGAGCTATTGGATAAAGGGAAAAAAAGTTGTTTCGAGTATAATTATGTGTGTAATAATTTCCTCATATCTTTCGACCATATACCCGACATTGTATTTATTGTCAGAATTTATACTGATAGCCCTTTGGTAGGTTAGTTCATGGCTATAAACGAGCTACCACAATTTAATAAAGTTTATTACCATTATCATTATCAGATGACGTCTGATAATGCAAAAGATGTGCATTTGTCAGACAGAGGCACAATAATCTGAGAGACCTGGAAGCAGAACTCCTGAACATTGTATGTGAAGACGTAACTACTGAGCCATCACGAGACTAGATGTACACGCGCGGGCGGTGTATTCTCTTAAGGTTATATTTATTTGTAAATAACTGATAATTATATAGAAATACAGATCATATTTGTCATTAAAATTAAAAAAAAACGTATTATTATATGTTATTATTATTGCATGTTACTGGTACTGGACCCCCCTGACCTCAGATGTCGTGGCTATTCTTCTGAAATCATTTTTACACCAAAAAACATCTGTGCCAATATTAGTGTTTTCTTCCACTTCGTAACGTTGTTGGCCCTAGCTACCTGACTATATTACATGTAGCAGTCAGCAGTTCGGTTGTCTAAGCATACATTGCCATGGTCCACTCACTGACCGCATTGACTGCAGGCTTCTTTACAGTCAAGATAAAGTTCTTGGAATCATGGGTAAATTGCAACTCCTTGTTTTGTCCACCTTAAAACGACAAAAATATATCCATCATAACGTCCTAGCTGTGATCGCTGTCATYATCAATGATAATTTCCCCTTCATTAGATGAAATAAAACCCTTCTGGGTTCGAGGTATCATTTTAACTGAAAGCTGAATCTGCGGTTCTATATTTATCAAGATCAATAAACACAACTAGTTTTTGAAAATATCATGACTCGAAACGACTTTTGTGAAATGAACATAGAAGAATCACACCACAATGGAATTATTCCACACACAAAAAAAAACTTAAAAAAACATAGTTWGCACAAACTACGCTTAAAGAGATTTCTGAGTGGAATTTTTGTCAATAACAATTCCTACCTGCTTGTAAAACTATGGATTTCGGTGAGTTGCTGATGCCAAGTACAACAATACGCTCAATCCATGCTTTRGTATCGAATGATGTATTAGGCTTTACATTCCTGCAGAAGAATATGGTGTCTAGAGTTAAAACCATAATCTGTGAAACAGCACTTTTGCATTGTCTATTTGAGTAGAGTCTGTTATACGCATTCACCTTAATACTCGTCCTTAAAAAATATTCTTTTCAGTTTCAGTTTTTGAAAATTTTGAAGTTCTTCTTCACATAATAGGGACATGAGAGCCTTCTATGTGTACATCTACGCCGTGTAAATGCACGACCATATATGGAAGTCGTATGACAGATCCCTCTCAAGTTGTTCCACGGGTTAACGAAAACCGTAGAGAGTTTAAGCATGACGTTCACGGCAAAGGGCAGAAAATATCACATGACCTGTTTTTTGGGGATTTGCCGTTGCAGTTTCGACGCGTAAGTGGGTTATTTTGAGTTTGTCATAATCGTGAAAAGTCGCTCTTTCAAATGTCTACCAAAAGCACAAGGTCAGGCACGAAATTCTTAGGACATTGGTTCAGCTCTGCCATTAGCCGTTTGCCATAAACGTGATGCTTAAACTCTCTAAATAAGTGTGATTCACCAAAGAGACAAATAATAACGTGTAAAATAAAGAGTAATAGACTGTTGTAGTACGCTAAAATGTTTTTCACGAATTAGGTAGTAGTTATTAATTCTTGTTTCAAGAATTTCGTGATTTCATCACAAATGGCTTATATAACAAATAACTGACAGCCATCTTAGATATGAACTAAAACTTCCAGCGCCCACTTTGTTCCATTTCCTGACGAGTATCCGGCACAAATCTGTGTTATCATGAAATTTTTTAAAAACGGGTTGCAAGTGAGCCGACATGGCTACTGATTATTGCTTGTACTTTTCAAAGGTATAAACCAACCAAGCTACTTACTGAGCAGTGAGTTTGCCACGTTTGAAAGAGAACTTCATGTAAGCAAATGCACCATTCTTGTATGCAAATGTGTGCCCATCGTCAATGTAGAGATCTCCTTCAGCTTCGCCCTAGTAACACATGACAAACATGACTGATCTTAAA